TGGAGACCCAGAGGGAGATGGGAGGAGAGAAGAGGCAGCATTTAGAGAAGGTCAGTAGTGGCGGGGGTTCTCCAGAGAAACTGAACCAACAGGAAAACAAACAAACAAACAAACAAAAATATATATATATGGGTATGGCTATATATGTGGAGAGAGAGAGATTTATTTCAAAGATCTGGCTCCAAGCTGACAAGTTAGAAATTCAGGTAAGAGTGATGGGGCAGTCTCTAGTCCAAAATCAAAAAGCAGGAAATTCAGGCAGGATTTCTATGTCACAGTCTGGAGGCAGCATGCCTTCTTTTCCAGGAAATCTCAGGTTTCACTCTTAATGCCTTCAACTGATTGGATGAGGCCCACCCACACCACAGAAGGCCATCTGCTTTACTTCAAGTCAATTGATTATAAAAGTTAATCATGTCTAAAATAATACCTCTGCAGCAACATCCAAACTAGTGTTTGACCAAACTGATTACTGTGGCCTAGTCAAGTTGGCCCCTAAAATTAGTCATCACTGGATCCCTATGAAAAATGAGACCAAGAAAAAAGCCTAATCTTCTAGAAAACCATACACAGAAAAGCTGAGAAGAGTCATAGGTCTAAGAAACATGTATCAGGAAAGATGCCTCAATGAATAATGCCATCTCCCCAGAGAAAGAACCAGAAGCTCTCCTCTGAAGACAGGATCAGCTGAGAATTAAAGGCAGCTTTTCAGGCTGCCTCGACCAAGCACCACCTATACTGCAGACAGGGGAATGGGGCGGGGACAGGGCTGACGACAGTGTCCTGAGAGAGATCAGTGCTTCTGGGGTCTCAGATCTAATGTGGGATCCGGGGTAACATAGGAGATTGGGGCTCATGGAGAGGATGCAGAGGGGATCGAGGGACTTCCTGGTCCCCAGGACTGGGTGTGCGCTGGCACCATGGCAGGCTCAGGAAGAGGTCAGAAAAGTTTCATAAGATGTAGCAAGAAGAAAGAACTAGCCACGAGATCCTAACCTGCCCTCATTCCAGGCCTCCTCCATCCCCAGAGGTTTCCCTGGGTGGCCCCACCTAGAGCAAGGCCTCCCTCTGCTCCCCTCCTGGACTCCTCACCCTGGGCACCGAGACTTAACAAGGCTGCAAGCTCCTAAGGGCAAGAGCCCTGTCGCAGCCTTCCTGACCCTTCCACACATCCACCCCTGAGCCCCAGTACCTCACTCATAGGAGAACCACGGAGACCTGGGTGTAAAGGATGCCCAGAGTATACAGCCCAAGAACACTGCTATTGCTTGAATCCGTGCTGTGCCATCCCCAGCTGCAGGATTCTGTGTTAGCCTGACACTTCAGAGATGGGCCCCCACCGTTGAGTCACTGCCAAGTTTGTGGAGGGGGGAGGTGGGGAGGGAGGAGACCACAGAGTCTAGAAAAAGAAAATCTGTCCCTTTGACTCATCCTAGGAAATGCCACACTCAACCCTCAGACCATCTAGCACTAGATTTTCTTAAGGGAAAAATCAATACATGGTACCCGCCTAAAAAACAGGAGCAGTGTATCTATGCTGTAAAAGGAATTGTCCCACCGGGCCAAGAATATCAAGGAAAACAGTAGTGTTGTGTCGCCTACAATTACCCTGAAACCCCTTCAAATACCTCACACCCACCTAGCCTCTTATCAAAAATGAATGAAATGCTGAAGGATAACACAAAATCACAAGTTGTGTGTTAAGTTAAAAAAAAAACAACCTTTCCTGAAATTCCAGCACATGAAATTCCAGAGGCGTAAGAAATTGCGTGGCTCCTGCCTCAGGAGTCTCTGGGTTGGCACGAGTGCCGTGTGCTCTGGGGACTTTCACAGAGAATCTGGCCGATGAAGAAACTGCAGGAACAAAAGCAGGGACTGGAGGGACCAGGTTTGAAGGCACTGACTTCCTGTTTCCAAAGAGCCGGCCCTGTGACTGGACATGCGGTCTCCAGGGAGGAGATGCTGCAGGATGTATGCTCTTGAACAGTTTGCAGGACACCACTGAGCAGCCCTTTCTGTTTATTTGGCCACACGTGGTTCAGCACCTGTGACTGCTTTTCTGTCCTCCTGTCATGCCCAGCACTGAGCTGTCACTTGGCCATCATCAATCCCCTAGTCTCAGAGTCATCCAGGGACTCCAAGAACCCCATGAAAAGGAGGGGAACCCACAGAACCATTCCTCAGAGCTCCCTCTGGAACAGACAGTGGCCAAGAAAAGGAGAGGTCTTGCCAGGGCAGGGAAGAAGCAGACCCCCTGACAAACAGAACAAAGTCAATCCTTGAAACTGTACACAGGTGTGTCTCAAGCAGGGGTAGACATAGAGAGAACAGACACAGAATGTTCACAAATGTCAAATGGTCACCTCTACCATAGGAGTAGCTTTCTTCAAATGACCCTTTAATCTAAGGGATGACAGAGGATTAGATGGTTGGATGGCATCACTGACTCAACGAACATGAATCTGAGCAAACTCTGGGAGATAGTGAAGGACAGCGAAGCATGGCGTGCTGCAGTCCACAGGGTCGCAAAGAGTCAGACACGACTTAGAGACTGAATAACAACAGAGAGGCCTTGACATGAGAGCTGTTGATGGGCTTGGAGCCCTGGGCAAGGCCCTTATTAGCCTGGGCTCCTTTTTCTCATTTAAAACAAAGCAGTGGTGGACTTCCCTGATGGTCCAGTGGTTAAGAATCCAACTGCTAATGCAGGGAACTTGGGCTTGATCCCCGGTCTGGGAACATTCCATATGTCATGGAGCAACTTGATTTCTAGCAAGACAGAAGAATCCAGTTACAAGCCTGTGTGCTACCACTACTGAGTCCAGGCACCCAAAGCCTGAGCTCTGCAACAAGAGAAGCCACCACGATGAGAAGCCTGTGCGCTGCAACGAAGAGTGGCTCCCACTCGTTGCAACTAGAAAAAACCTGCAGCAATGAAGACCCAAAGCAGCCAAAAATAAATAAATCATATGAAGACTCTTGAGAGTCCTTTGGACTGCAAGGAGATCAAACGAGTCAATCCTGAAGGAAATCAACCCTGCATATTCATGGAAGGACTGGTGCTGAAGCTGAAGCTCCATTACTTTGGCCACCTGATTTGAAGAGTAGACTCGGTGGAAAAGACCCTGATGCTGGGAAGGATCAAGGGCAGGAGGAGAAGGGGATGACAGAGGATGAGATGGATGGATGGCATCACCGACTCAATGGACATGAGACTGAGCAAACTCTGGGAGATGGTGAAGGACAGCGAGGTTTGGTGGGCTGCAGTCCATGGGGTCGCAAAGGGTCTGACACAACTGAGCAACTGAACAACAACAATACATTTCTTTAAAAAGGAAAATGCAGCAGGGATACCAGAGATAACCACTGCCATAGCCCACCATCTTACTACCAGGCCAGAGCTTCCCCATGGCTCAGGGCCTGATCCAGCTCAATCTCCCCCACCCCAGAAGAGCCCTAGAACCAGGAAGCAGCTGAGTAAGGGGCAAGGCTGCTGTTTGCCCCCATCTTCGCTCCCCCAACCCCCACTCCCGCCACGGCCATACTGTGTCCAACTGCCTGCGGCTTAGAACCCACCCCCGCCAAAGAAAACTAACAACGCCCGCCTCGTGTCCCCAACACACCCACTCACAGGCGTGTGTGCAGAGGCTCTGTAAATAGGGCCCGGTGCGCGGATGAAGTGCGGTGGGTCAGGAGGCGTAAGGGAAAATTACAAACCAACCAGCCTGTCTAAATAATTTCTCTCCGGGGCACCTAAAATGGCCATGCACGGTTCACTGTTGTCTGAAGTCGTACCCTCTGTCTTCCCACACAGACAGCAACTGAGAACTGGAGGAAAACAAGATCTAAATTCTACAGAAGCTACTTCTAGTAGCTTCTGGGATGAACTGTCCCAATATAGCATATAGGCACTTTTTTTAAACTTTCTCCCCAAAGCATCACTGACTCACAGCCACTCGAATTTTAGAAAAGGCGCCATCTCTATTGACTCATGCAAACTCAGTGAGCTCATATGACCCTTCCACCAAAAAGAATATGAAACTCTTCCACAAAAAAGAATATGCACAGCGGTTTTGCAATGACAAGTACTAAGAAGTGGTAAGCTGGCATCTTTGTAGTTTTTCTCACTAACTTCACTGACCTTGACCTGACAAGTTCTTCATTTAAGGACAAGAGCTAGCAAATAAAAATTCAGGTGAGAAGAAAGGAGAGGTAGTAGAAGGGGGAGATGGAAGAGAGATCTTTTTTAATTTGTCAAATAAAGTATCATAACTTCACTCTTCTCCTCCAAACAATAACGCTGCACATATGAGTGTGCTGATAAACTATATACCCTGTCTACTTCCAAAGTCTTCTAACAAATAAACACAAAATGAGGCTGCTCAGACCAAAGCAGAGATGGCAGCTGACTTCTAACAAGTTGGAAGAAGTCAATTACAATTATCTCAGCAGGGCCTTCGATTAGGTTTCTTTTTTTTTTTTTTCCAGCAGCAGAGGCCAAAAGTAGAACATTAGCATGCGGTGGGTTTGCTCTTAATACCACAAGCATACAAAATCAATAAAATCTTTGCTAGTGGAGCAAGTTCCAGACCCCTCCCAGTCACACTGCACCTCTGTGTTCCAAACAGACAACATGGGGTAAAGGAGCAAAGTGACTGGGAGAACTAATCCTAAAGCAAGATTAAAATGGACTGTGAGGCTAGGCTCTCTGGGGCCTCCAAATGTGTTTCAGATCCTCTTAGCAAAGGGAGAACTTGAGAAAGGCCTTTGCTGTCAAAGAGAAAGTCATAAGAATGACCACCCATCCCCACCCCTGGCTCTTATTCTACTGGCCATGACACCTGCAGAAGATACACGGGCAGACATCCAGAAGGCCAGTGATAGAAATAAACATCAAGGATTTGTTTTCATATAGATATTTTAAATGCACACCGGCCCGGCCCCATCCGTGGCTGCTAACGTTAGTGGATTACTCATTCTTCCTTCCAATCACGTCATGTGCGAGTCTCCAGGTGGCTGTGGGGTATTTGCTTACAACGGCTACCGCTGGTTTCCCTGAAAACTGTTTATTTTTCCAGGCCTCAGGTTATTACATCACCCCGCGGTTTCTGGGCAGGCCAAGAGCGCTGGTTTGGGGGGTGGGGGATCCAGCCAGGAGATGCTATTGCTTCTGTGACCCCAGGTCCCAGTTCTAGGAGCAGCCACCCTGGCAGGAACTTCCAGGTAAGGGAAGAGTATCCAAAAGGTGACCAAGGGGCCCAAAGTGCCCTAGGAGAGCACTGTTCTGACCTGGCAGGTCAGGACAGGATGCTGAAAACAGCTTACTGGTGACTCGGATGGTGACTGAGGCAAACACTGTCACAATTAAGGAGGGCAGGGGTCATGGTCACAACAGACGTATGAGAAATGCATTTCTGCCTTGTGTCCCCGCTGGTGGCTTGTCTCCCAGGAGCAGAGTTACCAGCAGCTGTTGCATCTGCAGATGGACAGAAGGAAGGTCTGCCAGGCAAGCAGGTGAGGAAGGAAAGACACAGTCCATTTGAATTGAACCCACAGAGCCAGGTGCTAGGGCCCCATGAAGTCATATCAGATCATGATGTTAACTAGAAAAGAGGGAGATAAAGGAAAGAAAGAGATGGGAGAGGGAGGAAAGAAGTCATATGACCTCACAGGTGGCCACCGGTGGGTACCAGGCCAGGAAAGAGGGAAAGGGCTGTAGTACACGCCTTCAGGGCATCGTCTGCAAGAACAGAAGAGTGAAGGCTCACACGACCACAGTTCCTGAGAGATAATATTTTCCCGGAGGAGAAAGCACAGAATTTTGTCACACAGAAAGAGAGAGAGGGAAAAAAAGACTTTTATAAATCACATGCTGTAGGAATGTGTCCGCATGTAGCAAAATTAGAAGCAGTTAAGATATGGATGAAGGATGAGATGAAGCCTAGTTTTTATCATTTCTTGGATCTCTGTACTCTCTTCTCTAACATGTAAGTGATTACACTTTTTTTTTAATCTAGTTATAATAAGAAATGCTTTGGTCACTAGCCCCTGGTACCAAAACCTCAGCAAGAGTCTGTTTTCTTATAAAAGCAGAGTCTCTGGCCAACACGTGTATAAGAGAAGATGCTCGCTGTCAAGTTCTAGGATGTTAACCACCAGGTACATTGTCTGCCTGGTTGCAAGAAGAACTCCTGGTACAAAGGAGGCAAGAATTAAACAGAAGTTCAACAGGCAAACTTGCTGCTGTGGACCCTGCCACGTACTCAGAGGGTGACCTGACCATGATAAGCCTATGACAAAGCCTTAAAAACAGGGACCAAAACCTTCAGGAGGAGAGAAGGAGACAGGATAAGTCTGTAGGCATAAGTGTCATGTTGTTGCAAAACTTCAGCTGCCCGGTGGAACTTTTCCAACGTCAACAGTCCCCAGGCCAGAAACCAAACCTGGCGTCACAGGGTCTGAGCGTGAAAGAAGGATGTTTGGGGTGTAAAAGAAACTGGGATGGCCTTTTTGCCTCTGGGAAAGAGAGAGCTGAGGAGGAGAGTGCTCACTCAGTCGGCTCACAGAGTCCCACTCCAACCTCCCCAGGGGTGTGGGTGGAAGCTCTCTGGACTCAGAATCTTTCATCAAACTCTAATGGGAAAGTGTCCCAGGGGCCCCACGCAGAGGCTGCTGTCCATTCCAGAGCCCAGACCCAGACAAGTTATCACTCAAGTCTATGTGACTTCTCATCAAACCAAGTGAAATCATGTGAAACGTGGCTAACACAATACATCAAGGGAGTCCACTGAGGTTTTTTCCAATTATTTATGTGCTCCTGCAGTGTGCCAGGCATTTTAGATACACTGAATTCTCAGAAAAATGTTGCAAGGCATTAATGACTTTATCTAATAAAGAAGGAAATCAAGGTTCAGGGTAGTTAATTATTAACTTTCTCAAGGTCACCCAGCCTCTCGGTAGGAAGCAAGTATCAGAAACCAGTTCTACTGTTGTTGTTCAGTCGCTCCATGGTGTCCGATTCTGTGACCCCATGGACTGTAGCACACCAGGCTTCCCTGTCCATCACCATCTTCCAGAGCTTGCTCAAGTTCATATCCATTGAGTTGGTGATACTATCCAACCATCTCGTCCTCTGTTGTTCCCTTCTCCTCTTGTCTTCAATCTTTCCCAGCATCTTTGCATCAGGTAGCCAAAGGATTGGAGCTTCAGCCTCAGCATCAGTCCTTCCAATGAACACCCAGGACTGATGTCCTTTAGGATGGACTGGTTGGATCTCCTTGCAGTCCAAGGGACTCTCAAGGGTCTTCTTCAACACCACAGTTCAAAAGCATCAATTCTTCAGCACTTAGCCTTCTTTAGGGCCCAACTCTCACATCCACAGAATTGCCTGATACCAAAGACCATGCTCATGCCATTACATGGTTGAGCTCTTCTGTATACAAAAGATTCCCTACCCTCCCACCTCTGAAGGCCAAGCCTCAGGATGCTTTCTGGGCAACCCACTGTGACAGCATGCACAGGAAAGAATGTTAAAGCTCCCATGAGAGGGGAAAGTGCTATGTGAGCCACCTAAAGAATTTTACGCTAATGCAGGCTTCCCAGGGCACATCAGGAAACATCTCAGGAGACACAGCCCCTATTTCTAAGAAAGAGACCACAAAATGTAAGAAAGACACACTTCTATTCACAATCCCACCTAAATGCTTCTACTTCAATCTTATATGGGCTTCCCTGGTGGCTCAGTGGTAAAGAATCCACCTGCCGATGCAGCAGACATAGGTTCAAGCCCTGGGTTGGGGAGATCCCCTGGAGGAGGAAATGGCAACCCACTCCAGTATTCTTCCCGGGGAAATCTCATTGACAGAGGAGCCTGGTGGGTGACAGTCCATGGAGCCACAAAGAGCTGGACACCACTTAGCGACTGAGCAACAACAAAGTAACAATCATATACCAGCAGCCAGCACACTTTTTTTATGTAAAGGATCAGATCATATTTTAGGTTTCGTAGGCCAAACGGTCTCTGACACAACTCTTCAACTTGACAGTAGCATGGAAACAGCCATAGATGATGGTACATAAATAAATGGACATGGCTGTGTTCCAATAAAACTTTATTTGCAAAATCAGTTAAGAGGCCTTTTGCCAACCTATTATGCACCTATGAGACATGGTGTCCTCCACACAGAATTACATCAAAAAGGTGTGTAGGCACTCTGTCAGCATTACCACCTGACCATGATGGAGAAAGTCCCAGTTTCTTAGAAAATGCCCATGGTACCAATCTTTGATAATGATCACTGGTCTCAGCTTCTCCCTTGGAAACTTTAGCTGTCTCCCAACCATCCTGTCCTATATGCCAACCTCACAGACATAACTGGAGCCAACCATGGAAAACTTNTACTTCCTCTCTCTTGGCCTTTGACTCTTCATCTGTAAGATAAGGATGACAACACTTATCTCATAGTGTTATCTCTATGGCGATGCTCAAAGAGAATACATAGCTGATACAGGTAGCTGATAGCTATGATGACAGTGATGATTCTGTCTTTATTGATGATGATCCTTTCTGCTGCATCCTTCTCCAAAGCAATCAAACACGTTAAGCGAAATTCTCTGATAGATATGACACACAGGCACTAAAGCCCTTGCCTTCACAGAGTATAGCGCAGATAGAGAAATTAATCGCTGGTAGGTGAAAAAAGGGCTTCCCAGGTGGCGCCAGTAGTAATGAACCCGACTGCCAATGCAGGAGACAGAAGAGATGGGGTTTGATCCCTGGGTTGGGAAGATCCCCTGGAGGAGGGCATGGCAATCCACTCCAGTATTCTTGCCTGGAGAATCCCAAGGACTGAGGAGCCTAGCAGGCTACAGTCCATGGGGTCGCAAAGAGTCAGACATGACTGAAGCAACATAGCACACACCAGTGAAAAGAATCACAAAAGCAGTTGCTAACAGTCAAATGTTTCAGGCAAAATGTACCATATAATTTCAGAGAGAGCTCTCCCTCCTATCTACCCCTTGGTCACCGGATGAGAAGTGAGCCCCCTACTGGGGACTTTTTGCAGATACCACTTACAGATACCACAGGTACCAAAAGACTTCTCTTTGACTTACCATTATTTGCTTAACAGTGAGGAAGGAGTGGAGGAAAGGTCTAAGAAGAAGCTTCCTAATAGATGCTTTTGCTTAAGGTGACAATTACAAATTCTTTCCAGATTAAGGAATTCTCACTATAAGCAGTATCATTGACAGTGAAAAGTGAAAGTCGTTCAGTCGTGTCCGATTCTTTGCCACCCATGGACTATAGATAGAGTCCATGGAATTCTTCAGGCCAGAATACTGGCATGGGTAGCCGTTCCCTTCTTCAGGGGAATCTTTCCAACCCAGGGATAGAACCCAGGTCTCCCACATTGCAAGCGGATTCTTTACAGTCCCATTTTTCCTACCAATGATGATGATAGTAATAAATACAATTGTAGTTACAATTTATCATGCACTTACTTTTATCACTTAGTCAAGCATTGGTTAAGTACTATACAGACTAACTTAGTTAACCTTACTCACCATCCTTTAAGGGGGAGATTATTCTTCCAGCTGAGCACTGAGGCTTGGTGGGGAGGGAGGGAGGCATGTGACCTCACTGTGCGTTTGACTTCACTTGATTTGACTTGACTTGACTTCAGTAAGTGTTGGAGCCAGAAAGAGAACCCACAATCTGTGTTTTGACAGAGGCCCGTGTTCTATCGAAGACTCTGGCCCACAGGATGGGCTCCTTCCCACCCCAGTATCCCAGGTCTCCTCCAGCTTCTATCAAACAGGGAACCAGACATGGGCCGAGGTACTCAGCAGAGAAAATCAACCAGTGCCATGTGGCTTCACCTCACAGTCTAAACCATTCCATGCACCCCAGTGTCCACAACCTTTAGGACAAAGCTGGCATACTATACAGATAACCAAAAGGAGGGCAAGGACAGCTCATTCATTCACTGATGGTCATCAAAACTCTGCCTGCCAGATGAAAGGGATATATCTTTAGTTTACAGTCCTTGCTATTTATCAGGAAAAGATGATATGGCTAAATTCAATAACCAGGCAGAAATATGCCAAGTGCCATTTCTCAGAATGAAGTCTGAGGCTGAAAGAAGAATAAGTCCCCCCGGTAGAGAAATAAATTGGGTCTGTTAATAACACATTGATGGACATCTAGTTTCTGTTGATGATAAATGAACTTAATCAACTTTGGTCTTCACTGATGATAAATGAACTCTATAATTTGATCACTCTTCAGAAATTATTACCTTTCTTTAAGGATTCCAGTTTCCCTGGTCTCTCAGTGCTAAAGAATCCAACTGCCAATGCAGGAGACGTGAGTTTGATCCCTGGGTCAGGAAGAGCTCTTGGAGAAGGAAATGGCAACCCAGGCCAGTATGCTTGCCTGGGAAACCCCATGGATAGAGGAACCTGGTAGGCTACAGTCCAGGGGTTCGCAAAAGAGTTGGACACAACTCAGGAACTAAACAACAACTACAAGGGTTCAACCAGTACTAAAACCTGGGCACTTACAAGATCTTGAAAGATCAGATTAGAAAAGATGTGATTGTAGGCAGTTAGAGCCTTAAAAACACATCGATCCAAGGTTCTTAAGGTTTGAAGTCCAGCTTCTCTATGCCCAGCCATTCTTCTTCCAAATTCTTAAGCATTGCACATAGAAAGTCAATTAAAATATTAAAACATACCATCAAACTATTTTTTTTTAGCTAAAAGGATTGACTACTTATGAAAGATGATCCCTGAGTCCTAACTGAAGACAATTAAAGTTGGAAGAGATTAACTCATCTCATCTCCTCATTTTACAGCTGTGGAAGAAACTGAAGACCAAAATGGTGAAATGACTTGCCCAGCCCCACACAGGGACAGTCATGGAGTAACCATGTGGCACCCATGGATAGACCAGGCATGCACATAATCCAAGGCAATTTACCTGAATTTCTTATGTTGGTGTTGTTCAGTTTGGAGTCCTTGATTACCAAGTGTTTAATCCAGAGAGTTGGAGCTGTGATTTCTGGAAAAAAAAAAAAAAAAAAAGAGAGAAAATAAAGTCTGGGCAACAGAGAATATGAAACTTGGGATGTAACACTCCAGACTTTTTAAAAGCCTGAGGCACCAAAGATAGAGCCATCTCCCTCATCCCATGTCCACCTCATCTCAACACCCTCTTGCTTCCTCCCTATGGGAGCTCGTCTCCACCAGCTCAGCGGAGCCAGCCAGGGCCTCTTGTGCCGGGAGGCAGAGTGGTCAGAGTCCAGAGGCATTGAGCCACTCCATCCAGGAATAAAAATATTATCCCAGGAGGTAAGGAAAATGGGCCAAGCCAAGTCTCTCTCAGCTGCTTCCCTGGAAGAAGATTTAAAGGAAATAAATCAACAAACCAATGCCAAAAAAACCACAGAGGCCATTTTGGAAGAAACAGCTGAGCCACAGCAGATTCTAGCTTGCTGAGACTCTGCTCCATGTGGGAAAGAAAGTAATGGGTCCAATGTGCGCTTCAGTCTCTTTTCAAATGGTTTCTCATCAAACAGAGGCTGAATTCTTCATCCAGAGAGCTTCAGGAGGCCACCAGGCTCTCCAGGGCTGGGGTCACCCAGTGGACAGGTGCTGTGGAAATTTGAGGATGCCCCTGGGCACTGGAGATGAGACCTTTCATGAGTACATTGGAAAGGTCTTCCAAGTTGACGTGGTCTCCATTTCCTATCCAGACTGCACAGGGTCCAGGGTCCCGGACTCGCCAATGATCTAGGACATTTGTGGATCACAGAAACATTTGAACTTTTAGGCATGAACACACATGTGTTCCACTCCATGGCCAGCTGCAAAGGCAATCTTCTGTTTCTGTCTAGAGCTGAGCCAGATAGCTAGGGCCATCCTGAGCCAACAGTTCCAACAAGTGGCATCACTTCTTTTTGTTCCTCTGTCTCACTGTCCAGTTTTAGGATCCAAACTTGGATATACTCAGCTGAAAGCTGCTAAAAGGTTGCTGAATATTGCACTGAGTGCCACATCTCAGGCTTTCTAGAAACTGCACTCTGCCCAGCTTCCTGCTCCCCGTCATGGGAACCTGGAGTATTTAGCAAAGCCCACTGAAGGATGTAGGCCCCGAGCAGCTCGAACTCAAACTGAAGCCAGCCTTCCGCACCCAAGTTCCAGTTGTCCGCTCCTCAGACCCCCAGAGATACCCAGCCTGCTTTGCCACCAACCACCGCTATTTCTCTTGATCTAGAATTTCTCTTCCCCCAATGTCTTGACTCAACTCTCACGGTCCCTACAAGTCAGCCAAACCAACTCCATGCACCAGTCTCTTTCCTGTGACTTTCCTCATTACACTCAGTTTCCACCATGCTCCCTCCTTTGTCCCTGCCTGGAACAGCCTGATTCTTCCCTCACATTTTCAGATCCAACTCAAGTTCCCTCTCTTCACAGAATCTTTTCCCAGACCACTGTGATCTCTTTCTTCTGGAAAAGTCTATCACAGAAGAAATAAAACTGAGGCCATGTAGCTTCATACATAAATTCTCCAATAGTTGCCACTCTGTTGAGAGCAAAGGCTTTCATCTTATCTATTTCTCCTTCGTCCCCCACAGGCCTCGCACAACGCCGGGCACACAGCGCTACAAGGACTTGTAAGAGCTGACTCATTTAGAAGGATGATGCTGCCGGCCTGTCTTACTCAGCCACGGCTCCTTGGTCTTGGCAGTTTGCAAGGTCCATCCAGGCTGTGTTATTGTTGGATGTTAGCGGCCAGGCAGGAAGCCTGGCGAGAACAGAGGGCCTTTCCAGAAGTGGAGGGTGTACTAGTTCCTGGGAGGGTTTGCATTTTTTTAAAACGTTAAAAACAGCCCAGCTTAAACCGGGAAAAATTGAAATTAAAAAAGGAAAAAAAAAAATAATAGTAAAGCTTAGACAAACATCCGAAGGAAAGAACCTTCCCAAATCTGAAGTAATACAGGAGCTTACCGTCTCCATCGAACACCGGCTGGGTCTCCATCGTGGGTGTCGGCTTAGACCCGTCATCTGAATTGAGGGTTAAAAAGAATCGAAAGGAGACTACCATTATTGAGGTAAATACTATCTACTCTCCAGCACTGTTGAATGGTTGGGGTTTGCACATGGCCCGGCCAAGTCCCAAGGAACAGATCAAAGAAAAAGAAAAGAAAGAAGAAAAGAGCAAGAAAGAAAAGAGCATCAGAGAAGAGACACCAACAGTAAGACAAATCCAGGTGCACGCTCGCCATTCCAGGGAAGGTTCCCAGGTCATCATGGCTCTGGAGGACCCCATCTCATGAGTCTGCAGCAGCACAACTCTGTCAGCCCTTGCTCTTTCCCCAGGAAAGCTGGGAGCACTGTCTTCCCAGGAGCCCTTAGATCTGGCCAGGCACATCGGGAGATGCCAGCACACTTATGGCATCACGTGCTGATGTCCCCAGCTCCTTCCTGCCCTCTTGTGCAAGGTACCAACCCAGTACCTCTCTAGTGGCCCTCACTGAAGAGTTTGAAGAAAACCAAAGACCATGGCGCCATTCCCTCCCAAACCCCTAGCTATTTTTCTGTCCTCATCTAAAAACGAAGTGAGGGGAAGAAGGACCATTCTCTTTCCAGCATGCTGAACTGAAAAGAATTAGGAATCCTTAGAACACTTTTAACTGTGAAACCAATTTCCAAGGAGAGATGGAGGCAGACAAAATGAGAGGGAACATGAGTAATTGCACTCTGAATTTCCTTTGAAATTTCTAACACAGATGCTAGGAGCAGAGTTCTCAGTAACAAAGTCCTAACACTTATGGTCACAGTAGTGTTGGCAGCTCTGTCTGCAGACCAAGAACCTCTACAGGTCAGAGTAAGTGCAGACTTTATCTACCTTTCAGGACTTTGAATTATGTTCACCAAGATCCCCAAACCTTAATTTTGAACAGTGTTTCTCAACTTTTGCTTTATTATTGTCTATCCAAGGAGCATTTTTAGGCATTTTCTCCTTAACTAGTTTCCTAATGAAATTTTAATAACAAAGATACACTGTATCTCTGTATGCACTGCATATTTATGTACCGTATGTATGTCTGTACTTTATATGTAAAAGGATAAAGGGTTCTTTTGTGCCCCCCAAACCAATTTTCACCTCTTTGTTGAAAGCTGGGAGCAGGTAGCTTTACTTACATTGAGAATGCACAGATCCAAGGTTTTTCTGTTTTCTCCCTCAGCAAGGGGAAGGAAGGTGAGCACTGTGGTCTCAGACACTGTGTACACAATCCCTTCTTCCCAAGACTCCCAGTGATCTTTGGGGACTAAACATTATATTCTCCAAGCATTAACTATTAATGGAGAATACAAGTTCTCATATCGTCTGCAAGGCCAGTCAGATCATCAGTAATAACAACCTCCACCATTTGGAGCTCCCAGAACTCTTGGCAGACTTCCCTGCATCTTATCAGGGGAAGGAGAAAGAACACAGAGAGCTGATCCCTTTTTTTACACCAATACCCCAGCCCTGGGATCTTAAGATTCAATAGCTATGGAGATCCTGACCCTCGCTGGAGGCGGAGGCCAGCAATCTGACAGTTGTGTGACACCTGACCCTGCGTGTCATGTGCCGACGTAAGACCCAACTCCCACAGGGGCCAGGGTGATCCCGAACAAGCCAACAATCATCCCCGGACATGAGATGCGTCAGGAGGAGAGGAATAATGAAGCTGAATATCTTATTTGCCTCAAACTGGAGTCCTGAACAGTCATCTTTTGACACCAAACTGCACATTTGATCTGGAAGTCATTGAGGGAGAATAAACAGTGCAAAAACACGCAACGTCATTTTTTTAAATAGCATCACTTCCCCGACTCTATTAACACCCCTTTCCGTTGACTTCAATGAACCACTGAATGAAGTCTTTTGGCAGCTGCAATGCACATTTGGTTGCTCCTGCCGGATGCAGGGTTCACAGTCTGAATAGCCCAGCACAGCGTGCTCAGCCCCTCCACACAGGGTGGCTTCCTTTCAGGAGTCTTAAAGGTAACAAAGGGAAAGTGAGAAATCAAACATTCTCAGAGGAACAATGGTGACAAGCCAAGTGCAAAATGGCTTATGTGATATCTTGATATTCAATTAAAATCATCCCATACTCCAAGAGCTATCTCCCTCTCTCTCTGGAGCAGGAAGACAGAAAATACTCTGTTTATTTCTCCCATCACTGACAGGAGAGGCTGGGACGGCCCATCTGGTCCAGCAATCAGCAAAGAAGTCTGCTGCTCAAGGAGAGGAAGAAGGGTTTCCAGTTTCCCCCCGCCCCGGGGAAGTCGAGGACCTCCACAATTGCCCAGATGCAGGTTCAGAAGCCCACAGAGCGTGAAGCCACGTGTAGGGAGCAAATCTTCCTGCAGGGTAGGGTCACCGAGGGTGAAGACATACAGCTGCACTGCCACCACGGAGGCCCTAGCTGGAAACCTTTATGAAGTGAGAAAAGACAAGGTGCCCTGCTGCCAGGAGAACCACCTGTGAAATCCAGCATGCCCCAAGGATGGGGAGCCAAGCCAAAGCCAACAGGACCCTCTGACCATCACCTCCGGGCACCTGGGCACCTGGCGTCCAACCCAGCAAACAAGCGCACCCTTCTCTCAAACATAGGTCCAAGGCCTGGGTCCAAGGTCCACATCAAGCCTGCTTCCTGGCAAGCCCTGGGGCAACACCAGGCCCCACACTGGGCCCTGTGGAGAGAGAAAAGGTTCTACGCGTACTCCTGGCCTCCCAGTTTCCAGTGGGGTAACTGTGCAGACCCCAGCTTTACATCCACTAAGTTGGATAAACTGAACCCCTCGCTTTCTTCTCTGGGCAGTGATATCCTCTTCTAAAAGTGAAGGGTAACTGCATCCTAGCCTCAGGACACTGTAGCTATAAAAGACTCTACAGGCCTCTTAAAGAAGGCATTAAATCGTCTAGTGTTAAATCATCTTCTCCAACTGCTTACTTTCAAAATTGGATTTGCAGCATGAAAATTCGACAGTTTTTAAAATAAAAAATCAAGTAAACCTTACAACTCAATAAGAAGACAAACAGCCTGATTTTAAAATGGGTAAAATATTTCAATAGACATTTCCAAGATGCACGGACAGCTAATAAATACCGAAAAAGACATTCAATAGCATTAACTGTTAGGAAACCACAAATTAAAACCATGATGAGATACCACCATGTACCTACTAGAACACCTTAAAATTTTTTAAAAGACACTATCAAGTGACAAGGATATGGAGGAGCTCAAATCCTCATTCACTCTTCATGGGAATGTAAAATAGGGGTAGCCACATTGGAAAAGAGTCTGACAATTTCTTTAAAAATTAAACATAAACTTACCAGTCAATCTTGAAATTTTACTTCTGGGAATCTATCCAAGAAAAATAAAGACATATCCGCCCAAAGACATATATATACACATATTCATAGCAGCATTATTCATTAATAACCTCAAACTGGAAATAATCCAGATGTTCTTCTATTGTTGAAGAGATAACCAAATTGTGATACATTCATACAATGGAGTATTATTTAGCAATTAAAAGGAATGAATTACTGATACATGTAATAATATAGCTGAACTTCAAAAATATTACACTACATAAAAGAAGCCATGCGCAAATACTACACACGGTATGACCCCATTATATAAAATGCCTAGGAAAGGTAAATCTATAGAGACAGAAAGCAGATACATGGTTGCCTGAAGGACAGAGTTAATATAACTATAAATGGGTACAAGGTTTCTTTGGGAAGTGATGGAAATGTTCTCTAGTAATAGCTGTACTTCTCTACAGATGTACTAAATTCACTGAATTGTACATTTACAGTGGGTAAGTTTTATGGTGTGTAATTATACCTTAATAAAGGTTTTAAAACAAAGGAGGGGCAGAGCACCCAAGACGTCACAGATACATCATCAGGAGGCAGTAGCTAGATTATTCAAGTGATCCTTAATTTGGGGGGACACTCTTCCATAGAGCTTAAAGAAAAACACATCTGAATTTCAGTTTACACACATGCGCATGATGATTTCATGTGTGTGTATGTTCACTCTTGGTGATTCTTACAGACCTGCAATAGTAAGACTTTATTTTTTGTTGATGCCATAATACTCCTCCAGATGGAGAAGAAGATAGAATACTGAAAAAGAAAACCCAATTCAAAGATGATCATTTCTCTTGCAGGGAGAAAAGGTAAATTTGGAAACATTAAAGAAAAGTAGGGGTTTCACAGGTGGCCCTGGTGGTAGAGAACCCTCCTGCCAATGCAGGATACATAAGAGACAAGGGTTTGAACCCTGGGTCGGGCAGATCCGCTGGAGGAGGGCATGGCAACCCATTCCAGTATTCTTGCCTGGAGAATCCCATGGACATGTGTAGATAGAAACATAACATTCATTATTCTAAATGACATAGTCCTGAGATTGGGCACAGAAATAAAGAAATCCTAAGGCTGACTTAGGGTGTTGTGGAGAGCTGACTCATTGGAAAAGACCTTGATGCTGGGAAAGACTGAAGGCAAAAGGAAAAGGGGGCAGCAGAGGAACCGAGGATTAGATGGCATCACCGACTCAATGGACATGAATCTGAGCAAACTCCCGGAGACAGGGAAGGACGGGGAGCCTGGCGTGCTGCAGCCCATGGGGGTCGCAAAGAGTCAGACACAACTGAGCAGCTAAACAACAACAGCCAGAGAAAAATAAGCCAAACCTGAGAACATTTCTCAAGGATGACGTCAAGATCAAGAATAATACATGTCAGCACATTTTGTAACACTCAAGAGTTCCTAGCAGGTTGCTTTCTTCATCTATTCTTGCCACTAGCCAGGCCAGAGGAAGTCACCAGGCAGATAAAAAGAGATTGAGCTTCAACGCAAGGAAGTGATTTGTTCAAGACCCCAGAGGCAGTGAGCAAGCGGTGCTGGCAACTGCTCAGGCCCGGAGCAGGCATCTGGCCTCCCCCAAATTCCCCAGCCCCCCAAGCACGCCTCCCCTCGCAGGTGCAGCCCCAGAGAGCCGCAGCCCCCGCACGGGCCCTGTAAGCCCATCCAGACAGTGGGTTTGTGTGGCCGCACAATTCCCCGCCCTGCGAGAAGGCCTGGCCCACGCACAGACAGCTGGAAGTCACTTCGACCCCCAATGACACTGTTCAAAGCCCCCTCTGTTTGGCTTTTTGATTCCTGATTGACATTTGCTGGCGAGTGGAGATAAATGCAGCGCTGAGGACAATGTTGACCCGCTCTGACTATTCGCAAGGAAAGACTTTTCAGAATAACAAACAAAACAAAACAAAACCCCCAAAACATTGGTGTGCTTAAGGGACTGAATAGAGCCCAAGAGGTCCAAGGAGGCAGGGCCGGGCCTTTCAAGGGGCTGGCAAGTCCATTGAGGAGTTAATTGTTTGGGTGTACAATGAGTTTATTCTGACCACATACAAAGAGCTTTCTCTTCCAGGTCCTTCAAAAGCAAATGTGTCAAAGGGGCCAGAGGAGGAATCTGTATTAATGGCATCTCTTGGGGTCTTGAGACTGAGGAGCCTTGGAGAATGAGAGAAAAAGAAACCACCACCCCCATCCAGAGATTCGGAAAGTCTCTCAATGATCCCAAGTCCCCTTCAATTCTTGGGTTCTGCCCAAACCCTGGTCCATCACTGGTCACCCTCCCTCTTGGATTCATTCAGGCTGCAAGACATGGAGATAAACTTCAGCCCAGCAGAAGTGTTGGAAGGTTCTTGCTATTGAAGGGACTACATTTATTCCAGAGCCATCATCCCCCTCCGCATGTGATTCAGACCCAGTGTGAAAGTCGAGACGACTTATTCCAGGCATCACAGGGAGACAACAGTGCCTGTTTACAGAAATGTCCCTTAAGAACCTGGCCCGAATCATACCAGCGGGAGGATGGAATTGTTAGTTAACCTCAACATTTCCTGAGGTCCCATGACCAACGAGGCTCAGAAATGTCCAATGAGGCTCAGCTCAGAGCCGTCCCGATTCTGACCTTTGACAACAGAAGTAATCTGAGTACTTCAGGTCCTTTCCAGAGTGAGAGATCAATGCTCCACATTCTGCCTACCTATCTGCACCTTCTTTCCCAATACAATTGAAAACAAGCTTAAAACTGTCTTTTTGCAAGCAGTTCCCAACATCGTCAAGCTCCACATTTTCTTGAGTAAGAACAGAAACAAAGGGTTGGTGAAAAGGGCAGACCAGAGATGGCAGAAGAGGGTGGTGAGGGTGGGGGGCGTGGGGGTCAGTGGCACTGGCAGCCGCAGAGTTGGTTCAGAGCTGGGTTCACACAGAGACTGGGCTAATTTTTTAGACTAGAAATGACTTTGCAACAGGTAATTGCAAACAGAGAGGTCCCATGTACCCTTCATCCAGTTTCCTCCAATGTAGCATCTTTACAGTTAATATAATCATATAGACAACATCATAATAGTATAATATCAAAATCAGGAAATTGATATTGCTATAATCCAGGGACCTTATTCACATCCCACCAGTTTTGCATGTACTTGTTTCTGAGTGTCTGGTTGGGTGGGCAGTGTGTAGCTCTATGCAATTTTATCCATGTGCAGATTCATGTAACCACCCGCCACGATCAAAATATAGAACTAGTCCATCACTACAAAGATATCCCATGTGCTACCCTTTTATAATCACACTTCCCCTTCTCCACCTCATCTTTCACTCCTGGTAACCACTAACCCTTTCTCCATCTCTATAATTTTGTCATTTTCAGAATGTTATATAAATGGAATCATGCAGTAGACGATTTCTGGAGGTTGGACTTTTTCACTCTGCATAATGCCCTTGAAATCCATCCAGCTGTTGCTGCATGTGTCAACAGAGTGTTCCTTTACGTTACTGAGTAGTATTCCATGGAATGGATGCACCTCAGTTTGTTTCACCCATTGAAGGACATTTGGGTTTTTTTCACCCTTGGTTATTACAGATAAAGCTGCTGTGACTATTTGTGTACAGGTTTTTCTGTGGACATAAGTTTTCATTTCTCTGGAATAAATAATCAGGAGTGCAATCATATGTTTTGTTGTTTACTTTTTTAGGAAACTTCCAAAGTATCTTCCAGAGTGGCTATATCATTTTACATTCTTATCAACAATTTATGAAAGACAGTTCCTCTGCAGTGACGTTTGGTATTGTCACTATTTTAGCTCTTCTAATAGGTGTGTAGTGATATCTGATCATGTTTTTAATTTGCACTTTAACATTTTTGATCAAAGTATAGTTGTTTTACAATATCATGTAAGCTTTGGGTGCACAGCACAGCAATTCAGTTATGCATATATATGCATATTCTTCCTCAGATTCTTTTCCCTTATAGATTTCTCAGATTCTTTTCCCAGTATTATTGCATAATACTGAGCCTAGTTCCCTGTGCTATGCAGTAGGTCCTTGCTGGTTAATTTGCACTTTTTATAAGTAATGGCATTGAACATCTTTTTGTGTGTTCATTTGCCTTCTGCATATGTGCTTAGGTGAAAAGCTTATTCATATATTTTGTCCATTTTTAAATTAAATTGGTTTTCAACTGTTAAGTTTTTTAGCATTCTTTATATGTTCATATGTCCTCTGTCAGAGAGGTAGTTTGTAAGTATTTTCTCCAAGTCTGCAGTTTTTAATTTCCTTAACAAGATATTTTGAAAGCAAGTTTTCAATTTTGGTTAAGTCCAATTTGCCAATTTATAAAATTTTTGAATCACATGTTTGGTATTCTAAAACACTAAAGCTCAAGGTTCACCTACCTATAAGTTCTAAAAATTTTCTCCTATGATTTCTTATAAAAGTTTTAATAGCTTTAGATTTTACATTTAAGTCCAAGATCCATTTTGAGTTAATTTTTGTATGAGGTGTGAGGTTTAGGCTGAAGGTCTTGCGGAGTTGTTTTTGTTTTTGTCTACTGGGTGCCCAATTGCTACAGCACCATTTGTTGAAAGGACTATCTTTACTCCACTGAACTCCTTTTGCACGTTTCAAAAATCAGTTTGCTGAGCTTGTGTAGGTCTGTTTCTGGGTTCTCGGTTCTGTTCTGTTGATCCCTGGGTCAACAGACAGTGAAAATACTCTGTATGATACTATAATGGTGGATACAACTACATGTGTGTCTATTCCCACAGAGTATACAACACCAAGAGTGAATCCTAATATAAACTGTGAACTTTGGGTGTTAATGATGTGTCAATTTAGGTTCATCAGCTGTAACAAAGGTACCCACTCTAGTGGGGGGTGTTGATGGTGGAGAAGGTGACACATGTGTGGGGACAGGGGGCATATAGAAAATGTCTGGACCTCCCTCTTAATTTTGCTGTGAACCTAAAACTACTCTTAAAAAACTAAGTCAAAAAATGAATTTAAAAAAGAATAAAATAGACATTTAAAAATATGGAGTCACCACATTTGTTTAGATGACCAAAGGAAAGCATGGATTGAAAATTCATAAAGGGTCAAGAAGGGAGTAAAATATTAAAGATCTCTTGGTTTTTAAAAAAAATCACATACAGTGATTCCTCTCACTTTCTTTTTAAAAATTTTTCCAGCTACTCTAGTACCATTGCCTTCTCTGGGAGATAGTAAAGGACAGGGAAGCCTGGCGTGCTGCAGCCCATTGGGTGGGGAAGAATCGGGACACAAGTTGAGGACTACACAACAACACCATTGCCTTTCCACATCAATTTTAGAATAAGCAGCCCTGAACCTATGGCTTTCCTTCAACAGGTGCAACAGGATGGAGAGTGACAACTCCTTGGGCCTTGACCACAGGAGCTACGTGGGGCTTAGGGCTGAAGAAGTGGTTCGGATGTGGCCCCAAGGCCTGTCCACCCACAGGCCGAAATCCCTGCCTCCCTCCAGCTTGCTGGGCCACACTTGGAACTGAACTCATTCAGCCAAGGAACATATCTTCAGTGGCCAGACAAGCTTGGAGCCATCCCCTAGACTTCGGGAGCCTCACAAAGGTAACAGGCAGAAGAATCAAGAACTTGCCACTGGACCATGCTCATCCCCGGCAGCCTCCTCCAAGGGTCTCTCCTTAGAGGCTCTAAGCCTGGGGGCCACTGGCCAGGGCATTTGGAGGAGCCACCCGCCATCCCTCCCCTGCTTCCCAGTATCCCAGCATCTAGAAGCCTGTGCTCCTCTGGGAGGCTTCCCCTCCATGACGATGCCTTCGACAGGGAGAGGCTAAGACCATCAGAGTGTGAGCTCCACGAACTGAGGGCCCTTACATTTCGCCCGCCACTGGGTCCTCAGGGACTGTAATAAAGCTGGCACTGAAGTCTCAGTGAGTATTTGTTGAATGAAAGAACAAAACAGCCAAGTATAAAACACCAGTGGTCACTAACAACACTGGGGGACTCGTTAGAATCCACGGCTAGAGGGCTTTTCCAGATCACAAACCCCGTTTCCTCTCCACTCCTTGGAAATCAGGTATCCTCCATTCATAAACTTTCTTTTGGAGACCACAGAATAGGGGCTGAGATGCAGGGCGGGCAGTTGAGTAGATGGAGTTACTCCCTGCTGGGGGAGTAATGAGCAGTGGGTAGTGGGAGATGAACACTCGTGCACACCCCTTCTGCAACTGATCTCTTTGAAGCTGATATACCGACCCAGGCTGGGTCAGGGTGGCTCGGACAATAGACAGCAGCAGCAACCTGCATGCAGAGGGGAAGAGAGCTGCATCTCATGGGCCTGGAGCTACTTGGGTGCAGTTTGTAGCAGGCATGCATCAGAATGAATGGTTCTCCACAGGGAAATCCAATGTGAGCCGAGGTCAACACATAGAGGTCATCAGTTGCCCATCTCCATTCAAATCCAGCCCAGGCTGGAAGGTAATCAGACTTAAGCCATCTGATGGCAAGGCTGACAGATCACCTATGGATCTGGCCGCCTTCTCTGGGCTGAGAGAAGAGAAAAAAGAGGTGGCTGGGAAGAGGTGAAAGACACGTGAACAGGGTGACATTCTGTGTATAGGATGCTCTGAGACGTCTGGCTCTGCACGCCTCAACCAGGTTCGAGGCAATGCAAGAAAATCCCTTCAGGTGTACTTAACCCCCATGAGGGCGGAGGCTAGAGACCACACAAGCCCCTTCATCTGGGAGACCTACCATCCATCACCCCTGCCCTAAGCACATCCCTCAGCCCTGAGGGGAAGTGCTGCTAGCTCCACCATTTGAGTGACAAAGGTCTCCAAGCTGGCATCAACTTGTAGACCAAACACCATGAGAGATCCTCAAAACTGAGACCCAGAGATGGACTCTGAAAAAATAATTATGACTCATTCTTCACTTGGAACACATACTATGGAGCAGTCAGTGGAGGGGCAGTGAGGTGGGGAGGGGGCAATAAAAGAAGTCTCTACGAGTTGAATTTTGGAAGTTCCGTTTCTCTCCAAGACTGGCTTGCCAAATACAGGAGCATGTGAAGAAAAGAGAGCAGTTTTCTACATGTTTTTATTCTTCTCTCACTTTCCTTACACTGCTCACTCCCAGAGCTCTTAGAAATAAGAAAAGAGCAAACTGCAGAAAACTCCCAATGACCCTAAATTTTCATTGGCCATATATCCTAGGCGCTCCAGAGAAAAAGTTCCCAGAAACTGCCAGAAATCATTGTCCAAGTCCTCTCCTACTACTCTTCCATTCTTCACCTGCGCCACCAACACCCCGCTGGAGGCCTAGAACATCCTTACTGCACCTCATAAGCAATGAAGCCTAGGACCAGTCCCTGACTCTGTGTTAGGTTATCCTGGAAACTCCCTCAAATCGCCCACATTTGTTAGCATCTGAACCCCCAAAAGAGGCACCCCAGGAAAGTCCACGAGCCTTGGTGGGCCAGGAAAAGCTGCTCAGGGTAAAATCACCACCTCTAAATCACATTTTGCTTCCCAGTCACTTTTCTACTTCAATGGAAACCCCAAATCCTTCCTCTCAACTTCTGCAGCTTTCAACTGTTTTAGCAGCAGATGGTCAGAACTCAGAGGTTGCTGAGGGGTCCTCTCCTCTCTTCTGATATTCCTCTGTAGCATCAATAAAACACATGTGGATGCACGTGTGCCCCCTGCCCCCCCAAAATGCACACATACCCCTTCCATCTCTCTCAGGGGGCGAGGACCATCAGAGAAGGGACGGCTGCAGGATGGGAGTGCCCCAGATCAATGGATATTTGAAACTCAAACACATGGCCCGGGACCTACCCCGCATGTGTTAATTACCACACATGTGCCCATAAAGGAGTCCGGGGAAACACAAGGGGCCCAAAGAACAGAGCACAGTGAAGACATTCCAGGGGATTAAGTAAACAGTCTGAAGTTCTGACCCTCCTCCCCTCCTGCAGCACGTGCATCTGGGTAAGATAACCGGGCCTCCCTCCCTCCCTCCCTCCTTCCCCCACGTCTCCCCTCAGGCCCCACACCTGTGGACCCGGGAGCAGGAGCGACCCAGACCTGCTTGCTGGCCAGACGCCTGTGACCTGCTACCGCCTGGCCTCCCTCCCTCTCTCCTGCCTCCTGCTATCTCCCCGGGCCTCCTCCCCCAGCCTCCTCCCGCTCTGCCTTTCTCCTCCTTGCCTTCAGAGGACTGATTCCTGGCCGGCAACCAGACCCTCCGTGGCACAATACGCCTTTTCATTCCTCCCAGGCGGAGAGAACCGATCCTTCCAAGTCCGGTCCATGGAGCATGTTCAAAAAGGCAGAAGGGTGGGGAAAGAAAGGACTGGGTGTGCTCCTCCCCTACTCCCACCGCCCCCCAGCCCCCACACACACATACACCCAGACCCCCAGTCTCGCCTCCTTTCTGGCCGTCCTCTGGGCTGAGCATCCCTCTGGGCAGGTCTCTGGAGCTGCGGCTCTCTCGGGAGATGCCTTCTGGGAGACCCCCCATGTGGGCATGGGCTCAGACAAGGGCCTTTTGTGTCCTCCCACCTGCTGCCCTCCGGAGCACATTCCATTCTCAAGTGGCAGCTGAAGAGGCACCTCGGCCGGCCCGACACAGGATATTACCAATGCCCTCTCGCACCCTGTCCTCATTCAAACCCCAGCTTCCTGGGCAGGTGTGGCTTCAGGTGGGCCTTCCCACAGGTGGCTTTTCACTGCCCTGCCCGCGGCAGACAAAGAGAAGAGATTCAACACCTCTGCCGTTGTTCAGGTGTGTCTGACTCTTTGCGACCCCACAGACTGCAGCAGCAGTCTTCTACTGGGAAGACTGGGAACCCTCCAGAGTAGAAGGAAAGAGAGGCCACTGGGCAGAAGTCAAGTCTCCAGGGGGCGAGTGAACCCTAGCATCTTTCCCACCCCCCTGCCAGGCCTTTGCACCAAAGAGGAAGCCCCTGCACCACCATCTGGAACGGAGGAACTTCGCTGGGGTAAGGGAGTGAAGAGATAGGAACTTGAGGCTTCACACTCTATCCACCCCGCCTCCCTGGAGGAATCAGATTCCCCTGCCTTCTCCCACCTGGATCAGCAAAAGCCTGCTGTGAGCACGGGTCCGATTCCTATTGCCATCCACAGAAAACAAGACAACCTGGGAAGTACTTCTCTGTGCAGTTTAAAAGCCAGATCCTCTGGTTGGCCTTTCTGGGGGCAGGTGCTTCACCCAGCATCATGTGCTCTGATCCCTTCGGTGGGGAAAGTCTGGGTGGTCTGTTCTGCATGACTGCTCTTTCTTTTTCCTACCACCAGGACCTCATGCCCAGGATTAAAGCTTATGCTCCTGAAGACTTCAGTGGCAACAAGCAAAACTGAAGGCAGTTCCCTTTTCCAACCCCAATCAATTATAGGCAGACACGCCACTCACAGTGTTGATTTCAGATCTTTGCAGGAAGAAATGTTTATCCCCTCTCCTGCCTTCCCTCCTAGAAGGGAGCCACCAACATTCAAGGCTGTCTCCCTGGGGCTACGAAGTACTTTGTTTTTGCCCACTTACTCATTCCTGTTCGCTGGTAGGGGAGCAGCCCATTGGGTCCTTTGGTCCATGGTTTCTAGAAGGAGGTGGTATTACCAAGCTCCACTCCCATATCTTCTTGGAGCACCTGATGCAGGGAGAGCAGGTTCTCCAGACTCTCAGCTCCTCCATTCAAGCAGGGGGACTCTGCCTCCTCTTGGGGTCCCCACAGAATTAGCATCTGGGGCAAGGGCCAGGGCCTCGCCTTGGTCTCTCTGTGACTGCAGTGTAGGATAAGCCTGCTTGCCCCACTCTGATCCTTGCAGGCCCAATTCTCCATATAGCTCTTATGAGCATGAAGTTCCCAAGGCTCAGAGTCAAGTCAAGGGGGGCTCAAACTCAGCTGAGATCTCCCACCTGGGTTTTACCTGAGACCCCAAAATAAGGGTTCTGGAGTGCTTGCATGGGCAATAAAATTGAAGCCTGTTTTCCATGCAACCACCAGCTGTCTGTATGTATGCTTTTCTGGAGGTAAGAAGTGGAGAATCTTAGCGTCTTCCATACTGGAAAGTACGGTCAACACATCCCAGGGGCCCGTTCCTCATGTAAGTTGGTCCACTAACCAGCACTCAGACAAATGCCCTCATCAAGGCCAGCTACACAATTTGTAGGGCCCAGTGCAGAGTGAAAAAGCCTTTTCTTCAAAAAGCAGGAGAAAGGGCGCCATGAAAGACACTAAAATATTAAGTCTGATCCTCTTCTCCATCGTCTCTCCCTTGATTTGTCATGGTGTTTTTCAACTTGCTATTTATCACTGTTCTAGGTAAAGAAAGGCTTCCCAGTGGCTCACACAGTAAAGAATCTGCCCGCAACGCAGGAGACCCAGGTTCGATCCCTGGGTTGGGAAGATCCCTTGGAGAAGGAAATGGCAACCCACTCCAGTATTCTTGCCTGGGAAATCCCATGGACAGAGGAGTCTGGCAGGCTACATTCCATGGGGTGGCAAAAGTCAGACAACGACTGAGTAACAAATTCTTACTTTCTGGGTAAAGAAAAATGAAAATTCTAAGCAGGTTATGGAAGACCTGTAGCCCTCATCACAAAAGCTATCTGTCAATGAAGCCACAGTGAATATGCACAGTACACGTGTCTCTACTGCCCACACGCATGCCTCGTTGTCCCACTGCACCATAATGACAAAACCCGAGTTCAAGGGCAAAATAACTAAGAATTTCGAGACCACAGCTGCCCAGGTCACATGCCCATGGAACATCCTAGTCTTAGTGAAGAGACTCTGGATGTGCCAGAACAATTATCAAGGAGAATCAAAGACGGGAAAAAAATGCTCAGATGGGTTTCCAAAACAGAAGAGTCTGGGCAGACTTGGGCATGCCTGCCTTCGCTGTGCTTTTGTGTTTAACGCTGGCCACACTGGTAGTTGACTGACTGAACCTCCCAGGAACCAAGGGTCTCAGGGTCCTCGCCTGCAACGTGCACTCTCAGAATCATCTCCCTCAGAAATTCCGGGAGGTGATGAGCCTTACTTACCTCCAGGGCTTCTGGGAGGGAACAGAAAATGCAGATTTTCTGCGGGGCACTTTTAGCTTTCACCCCAGGCTCCTTCCATCTTGTCTAAGAACGCCTGCTTGGACTGGCTTTAGAAGCAAACATTTAGATAAAGCGTGAAACTCCACTCACCTTTCCTTCCTGAGTTACCCTGGCTCGCAGGCTTATCAGTGACCGAACCTTGGGTGAGAGGGGAAACAAAAACACAGACGTTCAGAATGCATCGCGGTTGGTTTCTTTCAAAGAGTTGGTAAAGCCTGCTGTTAGGAGCATATGGTTATGTATATAGATACTGTATACACAACTAGGAACATTATATACAAAGTGAGTACATACATACATGTGAGTGGGGTTTGTTTAACATCAATGTCACTGGTATCACAGCACTGTTGAGATGAACCATGATTTCCAGGCTCCCTGGCAATAGTCTCGAGCAGATTTTTACAAAATTCCACATCCACATAACTCCTTTGTTGAACATTCCACTCACTGCCCCCTCGCCTCCACTTCCCACCGGCTCCACGTTCTGAGCCACATTCAGTCAGTAGGGCCGACGGCAAAGAAAACCTCTCTCACTGCAAATGCAGTGATTGACATCCCTTGCCAGTGAGGGCAGGAAATCGGCAATTTTCCATCTGCATTAAGTAGAAAATTGTTGGCCCAATTGTACTGAATGGGCCAAAATAGTCTGAGGCATGGAAACAATTTTCTAGACGCAGCCCGATCCTCAAGGAGGGTGGGTAGTGGGTGGGTTTGGCCAAACGCGGTGCCCTGCATGTACTCGGGTGCCCTGCGCCCCCATCTGACAGTCCTGACCCTGCTGCACCTGCCTTCCCTGGGATGTCCTGCCCCGCACACGCAGGGCACAGCCAGCTCAAGCATAGAGGGGCATCGGGGGAGGTCCCCACGACAAAAGAGAAGAGATCCATCCCTGTTCACATCTGACCCCTTCTCCATATATGAGTTTTGTGCGAATTCAATTATATTACCCTGCATGACTTGTTTCTAGCACATTTGTTTGCTTTAAATGAAACTTTCCAGGTCATTTGCAAGAAGGCTTCATTCCTCCCCCTCCCCACACCAACCCCAATTAAGGTTTCCAGTTTCCATGTAAACCACAAATAAAGTAAACTTTCCTTTTTGGCCTGCAAATTTTGGTTTCCTAATGTAGATACTTACTGCCCTTTCCACTCACTCTTCCCCTTATATAGCAGGGCTGGTCGAAAAAAATGAATAAATTTAGGGGAAAAAGAAAAATGTTAGGACAGGACTGCTGCAGTTTGGAATTTCCCATAGGCGTTAGAATAATGTTTTATACTTTGCTTGCACTTAAAAATTAAAAATACGTAAATACATAAAATCTCATATACACAGATTACAGAGAAATAGGAAGCAGCTGGTGGGTGGGACAGACTTTTTTTTTTTAACATGGGTTGAGCTGCATAATGAATTAAGGGAGTGACTTGAATTTCCTTGCCATCAAAATGGAAGTGTGGGGCTTCTATAAATCCATAATACACAATCCCACAAAACTGATCTAAGAACAAAATTTCTCTATGCCCATAAAGTTGGAAATAGAAAAGACTTGATTTTTCCTATGGACTTACTAGGAGGGTCGCTATGAAAGAGTAGTTCCCTAATTTGTCTCAGCATCAGAACCACCTGAGAAGCTTCATAAGCATGTAGACTCCAAGTCTCACTCTAGACCTACTGGATCCAAATATTGAAGGAGAAGCCTCAACATTTGGGCTCTTTTTTAATTCCCCAGGCACCGCTGATGACAGCCAGATTTCAGGGCCACTGGCACGAATGTTTTCCATCACTGTATGTTACACTGTTCAGGGGTGGCAAACATGTGGCAACACAGACCACCACTCCCCTCTCCTGCACCCATGAAAGACATCACTAATTGGTTGCCATAGCCTTTGATGCTGAACTCCCATGCAGTCCTGAAATCTATCTCGATATAGTGTGCCTCAGATCCCTAGCAGCCAAGAGCACTCAAGCTATAAACTTATAGACCGTGCTCTCTAGAGGTTACAGCTGATGCTTGGGAAAAAGAGCATTGAACCAGAAACCTAAGCTCAAAATAACTAAATACATACCCAGAGACACATACTGACCCTATCACCCAGCTCCCAACAGAGCAAGCGTGCTCAGGTGGACTCCTCCCTGACCGGGACGAGAACTCATAACCACCACCAGTCTTTCAAAGGCCCACCCCAGAGGCAGGAGACCGGCCAAGGCGTCTCTCCCCAACCCTCTTCTTTCTTCCCGCCCTTCCCTACGGTACCTGAACATACAGGAGTTTTATTCTGCACAGAAGAGCCACTGATGGGCTTCCCATCTGGGGTAACACACCAGCAATAGCCGGTGTAAGTATGGCACTGCACCTGTTCGGGAAGTGGGAAGTAGAAAAGAACCATAAGTCTTGGGTCACAGGATCGACAGTGGCCTCCCATCCGTTTCAAACCCTCCCCAGCAAGGCGGAGCGCTCCTTCCACCTCTCACTCCAGCAGCCCTCCCCCTGCGTATCCCTCGAAGATGGGCCAGAAAACACTGTGTTTTCTGCTTTCTGCGTGACTCTCAGGCGCAACCCCAGCCACTTATCTTAGGCTTCACGCTATTTCCTTATGACATTTAACACTTAATCTCTTACACCACACTCAGAAATGTCCACTGCGTGTCCCATCTATTTGTAAGAAGTTCCGATTGGTGAACTAATTTGGCAAGTACAAGTTGGCATGTCATCGCCGTAGGTTGATACAACCCTTAAGCAGAGACAGGTGAAAGGCTTTTCTTCTTTTTCTAGCTTTTCCCAGCATCCGTTCCTACAGCCAGCTTGCCTACTGATCATGCGACTTTCCTGAGAGAAGGCCACACATGATGGGGCTAAGGCAAGAACAAGACCACTTGGGCCTGCAGGTGCTAGTTCTAGATGCCCTGCGGCACCACTGCTTGATCTTCCTCAAGCCTCCATGGTCAGGTCCACGCTGCCTGGGAACAGTAAATGAAAATGAGGCTTTGGGCTTCATTCAGGGTAACTCTCCCTTTCTCTTTCAATAGCTGTCACTCTGTTCACCTCCTCCACCGCACCCCACCATCCCTTTTCCACCCACTTTCTACACAAATCTGGGCATCATTCCCCTGCTTAAAACACCTCAAAGACTTGCCATCAGACTCAGGATGGAGATAATGCTGATTTGCACGAGCTTAGGGATCCCCATGATCTGGCCCCTGCTCTCCCCACATCCCTGTTTGACCCCCAGGTCTCCACATAGCCTCCATTTCAGCCACAAGCAACTTGTTGAGGCTCAGAAACAGATCCTAGTGTCTCATGATTCTGAACCTTTGTTTGCTTCAACCAGTCAATCTCTCTGGAATACCATTCCCCAGCCCATCCCAGCCGACTCCCAAGCCTTTGTCCTCCCACCTCATTCAGGATACACCCTCTGCTTAAAGTGGTCCCAGGCTCCCTACATCCTCCCCTCCTTCCTCTGACCCTCCACACAGCCTGGTTCCCCTAATTCCCCCTATTACAATGAGCCTGTTGATCTGTCTAGTCTATCTCTCCCATTAGACTGTGACCTCCCAAAGGCAAGAGACTGAAACTTGGCTGTTTCTATATTCCAAGCATTTAGCACAACGCCTGAGATTTATTGTAGGCATTTGATGAGTTGAATAAATGCATGAATTATCATATTTCCTGAATTCTTGGTCTCTATCCATCCTAAAAATGTAACATCAATTTAAACAGCCCTGCCACATTAAATGTAGACCTCAATTACAAGATGTGTGCCAACCGCACAGACATTAAAGTGTGGGGAAAAGGTGCCTCTTGGGATCAAGGACATATCAGAATCAAGGATAGACAGCAACAGCATACAAACTGAGTGGTGAGGGATACAGGGTACAGAGGGAAAGGATAGATCAGACAGTCTCTGTAAAATCCGTAAGTTATCAGCAAGAGAGAAAAGCTAGAGGAAAATGACTTCTGCTCTTGTGAGGGTACCAAACACCACAGTTCTCCCCAAAACTAGTTGTTTCATTACAGACCTGCACTCAGAAATTGGGATTTAAGAACAAGATGCAGTGCATCTCACTCCTACCAGTATGATGACTGTATAATTGAGGTGTTTACCTGTACCATGCATGCAGGGAAACTGTGTTCAATGCCTTCACCAAAGGACCACGTTTCACTCCCACTTCATCTTGTGGAGACAAGCCCTGAATCCCAAGATCATGCTTGCTACCCCAGATGCTCACTCAAGATCAGTGTCCTCTGGCAGGTTAGTGCTACCTTCTGAGGAGGCCTAAGGATGGAATGGAAAGCAACCCAGATACACCTGGATTTGAATCCTAGATCCAGCCAGTTATGGATTTGGCAGTTACGTTACTTAGGTCTTTGAGCCCCATCTATAAAATGGGGATCCTAGCACCAAACTAGGAGGGAACTGGCCAGGAAAACAGTGTGAGACCAAAGCCTGGCCTGGGCCGGTGGCTGGATACAGGGTGGCTACGGCAAGATTGCTCTCGGCTGTGTCAGAGAGCCTGGCCAGCTGGCCTCCATGTGGGCGCAAGCACCCCTGGGAAGCCCGGGAGACTCTGGTGGGGAGCACTCCTGGAAACTTGGAGTCCACCCCTTCAGACTCTGCACGGCCCGCAGGGGACGGCTCCTCGCCAGGGGCAGCATTTTAATGGGGCCTGACTGGCTGCTTCCTCCTCCGTGGGGAAGTCTGTCCCTGGGGCCAGTGGCCACGCTGACTCACCCCGGGGCCCCTTGGCTCTCAGGGCCAAGGCCAGCGTCTCTTTCTTGAGGACGGTACCCCCCACCCACACCTCCGCCAAGTCCGGCTCCTAGACGACACGGAGTGCCCCTTCTCCTGGGCCTGCAGAGTTCCAGCTGAGGCTTCTGGGGACAGAAGCACGTGCCTGAAGAAGAGACAGAGCCCAGAGCTTTGTTCCGGGGGATATAATCTGACCTTGGGGCTCCGAGGGTCCCCAGGGCCACATGCTACCTGAGAGTGCCCGCTGTGCCCCTTTGGACATACAGATGCTGCCTCCCAGCCCCCACGCCAGGCCCACAGGCCCAAACACAGCCCCCCTTTCTCCCCAGGGCCCTCGGCATTTTCCTCAGGCCAGGCTCCAAGGAATAGACTCCAGATGACAAAGTCCACAGGCTGAAGGCTGCTTCCAAGCCCTTCAGAGTTTTACAGATGAGCCTGAACGAGGAATGGCTGCCATGTTCCTCTGAGGCTTGGAGCCCACAGCTCCAGGCACACCCGCCCGAGGTGTGCTGCAGAAGAAAGAGCAACAGTGAAAAAGAAGACCCAGAGGACTTAGACCACTGCAGGAAGCACCCAGCAAGGTCACCTTCCTCTGCTGAAGGATCTCCAGAGTTCTCCATCTAGAGATTGTCTGCAAATTGTCTTGGGAAGTTTCCAAGATGTCTTCTTGAAGAAAAAGAAGTCATATGAAGAGAGAAAGCAGTGGTCACAGAGTCAGACTGCAGCCTGCCTTCCTTAACTAACCAGCTCCACCACCTCCAGTTAGCCACTGAACTTTCCAACCCTCTGCAGCCTTGAAAAGGTTTGTAGTCAAACCAAGCCTCAGACCATCCATGACCATTTAGAAAGAGGGAGATAATAATACCTACCTCACTCAGTTGCTGGGTGGATTACACTAGATAATGTAAATAAAGCACTTAGCTCACATGGTAAGTGCCCAGTTAAACTTAGCTATTTATTTTTATTATCATGGTGTTATTTTTTAGCCAACTATCTGCACTCAAAAAAAAAGCACAGCCAGATTCTCTGATGGAAACTAGAGAACATTCTATTCCAACCAGCCCCAAGAGGAGGGGCAAGTTGAAATCAGCAAAAAGTGTGAAAAAGTTTGAGTAAAAGAAGGGGAAATTTATTTTCATATAGAAATAGTTTCATTATTCTCAGAAGAGAGAAGTAATGTTTCTTGTAGAAAAGCAATCAGGATGTAAATTCTATAGAACTAATGGTTTATATATACATGACCAAATGTTAAATCCTACCTAGTTTCCCTTCTTCCCTTGCAAACTTTATTGTTTTAAATTAATAAGCAATGCTCCTTGTTCAGATGGTGACTGCAGCCATGAAGTTAAAAGATGCTTGCTCCTTGGCAGAAAAACTATGACAAACGTAGACAGTGTCACTTTGCTGACAAAGGTCAGTCAAAGCTATCATTTTTCCGGTAGTCATGTACAGATGTGAGAGTTGGGCCATAAAGAAGACTGAGCATTGAAGAATTGATACTTTTGAATTGTGGTGCTGGAGAAGACTCTTGAGAGTCCCTTGGACTGCAAACGGATCAAACAAGTCGATCCTAAAGGAAATCAGTCCTGTATATTCATTGGAAGGACTGATGCTGAAGCTGAAGCTGCAATACTTTGGCCACCTGATTTGAAGAGCATACTCATTGGAAAAGGCCTTGATGCTGGGAAAGATTGAGAGCAGGAGGAGAAGGGGGTGACAGAGGATGAGATGGTTGGATGGCATCACCATCAATAGACATGAGTTTGAGCAAACTCCAGGAGATAGTAAAGGACAAGAAAGCCTGGTGTGCTATAGTCCATGAGGTCACAAAGAGTCAGACACAACTGAGCAACTGAACAGCAACACCTTTGTTCTATCTCCCCCGGCTCGGCACACCAACCTCCAATTCATCAACTTTCAGGCTTAATCTATGCGAAAAGCACGGGCCAAGAGGAACTGACAAGGTAACTGGCCATTTCGAGTGTTGAGCATCTTGAGCAGTTTTCAAATCTCAGGGTTGTTCTAACCACAAAGGTACAGATACAAACTATGGCATTTCTTCCTACCCCCCTCTGGAACAACCTTGAGAAGGTTAAAATGTCAATTGATGGGTCTTCCTTAAAAGACAAAAAGTGTTTTTACATCAATCTAAGTGAGGTTACTCTCTGCTTATACTGCAGTGTGTTCTTAGGTAGGAAATTTCATCTCTGACTCATATACTTAAATATTTTTGGCAAGAAGCCCTTTGCAAAAACAGCCCAGTGGTTTACTTCGGGTCAACCTCTCTGTCCAAATTAAGACAAATCTGCAATTATTTTAAGCTTGTTAGTCTTCAACATTAGCCCAACTTGTGGACACCTGGGAAAAGTGGGAGGCCAGCATTGCCAATGAGTGCAGTTGAGTAACTGATGAGCAGAGAACACAGCAACACCAGCTCACAGAACAAAACCAATGGGGCATCAAAAGGGAGGGAACCGTCAGAAAAACAAAGGAGATGATGGACCATGTGTAGCGCCAAGGTGCTCTCAGGTGTCACACCCCAAAAGGAAAACACCCCTTTCTATCTTTACAATGATGTTCCAAACACCACTGTGACTGAGGCATTA